AGAGAGAGAGAGAGAGAGAGAGAGAGAGAGAGAGAGAGAGAGAGAGAGAGAGAGAGAGAGAGAGAGAGAGAGAGAGAGATTGTATATTTGACTGCTGTGATCCTCAAAGCAGTAATGGTGGCATCTTCTATGCATTGCTTATGGGGAAAGACAGGGTACTACCACGGGAAGAGACAATGTCATGGAGCTGTTTGGAGGAGAGACCTCGTTGTTGACATATTTTCTGGTAGGTGTCTATCTATAGAAATAGAAGACAAACTGTGGTATTCGTCCGGGATTTTTGGCATGTAGAGTATGGCATCTGTGTCCGTGTTCCACATCTATCTGTATGTCCATGTCTATGGGCCTCGCCCAGAATCTGAGCAATTTCACAGACAATGTCACACCTGTTTCTTCGTCCGTGTCCCACATCGTATCTGTATGCTCATGTCTATGGGCCTCTTCATTGCACAACATCCTAAATGCATCTGGAGCAACAAAGTGTTCCTACGTGCAAAATGTTTGATCGGTCCGAATGCGTTTGGTCCATAACAGTCCAGCTGTGTGTCGAATGTTGAGTTGAGGCCGTGCATCCTAGTAGTTTTTAGGGCAAGCAGTTCATGCCTAGCAGCGCACCATTCCTCGTTTCAGTCGGGATCTCTGTTCATCGAAGACCCAGAGAGTTTTCTCATGTGCCCGACATGGAGTTGATGTAAGATTATTGTTGCGGGGAAAAAAAAAAAAAAAAAAAAAGTCGTTTCAGAGGAGGGTGTGGAATTCTGGAATGGCAGAGGGCACGCTAGATAGCACCTTGTCCTGCTGTGGGGGCATATTACGCGCACTAGCGGTTTTCTTAAGTTGTCTGCCCGCCATTACAGCTGGACCTGAAGGATCTGACCGCAATCACATCCAGAGCTGAGTCGAAAAATGTGCTTCCAAAAGTTTTCGATGAGTTTATCTGGTAGGCATAGCTGCTATGCCAGTGTCAGTATCTGGACGTGATTGCGGTCAATCCATCCAGGTCCCGCTCAGGTCATGATCATCTCCACAGAAGGGGGGGGAGTAGCTCTGCCCCGGAACGAGACACCTGGGCCAATGACGCCGCTCACTCCCTTGAAACGTGCACATTTTTCTATAGTAAAAGTCATCGCCCACGGAAAGAGGCGAGGGTGGTCCGATTCTGCAAAGCAGAAGGCATACTGTGTGTATATGTGAGGACTCAAGCTGGGTTGTTCAGCGATGTGTTGTTAGCTGATGAGCTGAGTGTGTCCTTGTTATTTCTCCCCTATCGTGCTTTTGTTTAGTAGTTTTCTATTGCATTCGGAAACTGTTCTGAGAGTTTTCTCGGAAACAAACAGGTCGTGGGGGAGAATGCATTGGCTCGGAGCGATTAGGTCTAGCGGGATGATTGATCGGATGGCAGTTGGGGAAGAACTCGTGTGCCAAAGCCACCTGATACCAGAGCTACAGTAATAGTTTGCGAAAGGGGCGGCAGTCCGAAGTTCAAAGGTGTGTGTGCCATGGCGTCGTCTGGGTGCAACTGCGCATGAAGCTTGGAGAGGTGATAGTTATTTGCTGCGTATGACAGAAGGATGCCGGAGATGATTTCTTTCAAACGCAGCATTTTACAGAAGGATATATGCATGGGCCATGGTCCGGCGCCACTATGCACAAGGACGTTCGACGAGCTGTACTCAGGCCAGTTTTTCAGCTTCTGGTGTTGGGGATACAGGACTGCATGAAGCGCGGAGAGAGAGAGAGAGAGAGAGAGAGAGAGAGAGAGAGAGAGAGAGAGAGAGAGAGAGAGAGAGAGAGAGAGCGAGAGCAGCGTTACCTGCTGTGTATGATAGAAGAGGATGCTAGAGATGTGCAGCATTTTAGGGGACCACTCAGGGCCATGCTCGTCGGCCATCCAGCTCAATGATGTTGGGTGTGGAGGGTATCCAGCAATGATGTGGGGTGCGGAGGGTACCCAGTTCGATTGGTGTTTCCAGGCTTCTAGTGGGTGGGAATGTAGGAGTACATGGGCCCATTTTTTGGTTGCTCCGTCTGGTGGGAGCAACTCTGTATGCTGCCGCGCTTTGGAACGTGTTAGTATATATTATGTGTGCGTCGATTGTTCTTGGAAGCATGCATTGTCCACGCTTCAGCGCTGTCGTCGTACGTCAATGTTGGTTGGGTTTGGTACGTAAGCCGGTCACAGTCTCCGGTGCTTCTGATGCAAAGCATCTAAATGGATTCTTGACGCTGCAGTGAGTCCCCACAGCCAGCATCTCCCTGATGGTGACCGATGAAATGCATGAGGAGACCACGGATCCATGGATCTCCGCTTCTGAATGGAGTGCCTGGTCATGTTGCTCTCTTTACTGTGTACGCAGGGCTGGTACATATGCCTGCCAGCGTCTCTCGGCACTTTCAATGCCAGGTATGATGATGGATTCTTAAACCACCAGTACATTGCCCAGGCAGACTCTAGAACCGAAATCGAGCCAATCCAAAATTTCCGGGGGTTCGGGGCTACCGGACCACAATGTCTGGCGGGTGAGGAAGCAACCGAAAACGAAAAACGCGTGCGCGCTGGCGGTTTACCAAAGCTTCACGTGCAGTTCGGATCCGCCACGGCGAAAAGAAGCTTCGATGTACTTGTGTCCAAACCCTAGTAGAAAGTTAATGGTTCGCACCCCGGACAGTTAAAAGTACATGATGAGACTTGTGTCCAAACCCTAGTAGAAAGCGAAATGTTGGTTGCTGCTGTGTTGGTACCGTCACCGGGAAAGCTCCACACACGCATGGTGGCAGCTTTGGAGAAGATACTGAAACCTGTATTTCTGACTGTTCATGCCAGATGTAGAATTTGATAAGCAGTCGCTGCGAGGGAGGCTCGTACGGATTGCTCAGTTACTGCAAGTCAATGCTCAGTCCATTCTCACTCTAGCTCACGGTAGTCGCGGCTCATTACCAAAGTGTAGCTGCAGGAGAATTGTGCATCGTAAGGGACAGTGGCTTGTGAGGCAGTCCTGTGGTTGGCAGTGGAGCTTCTTAACATCTTCAGACATGCGGGATGTAGAATTTGATAAGCAGTCACTGCGAGGGAGGTTCGTACGGATTGCTCGGTTAAGCGCAAGTCGATGCTCAGTCCATTCTCACTCTAGCTCACGGTAGTCGCGGCTCATTACCAAAGTGTAGCAGGGAGAATTGTGTGTTGCAAGGGACAGTGACGTGTGAGGCAGTCCTGTGGTTGGTAGTGCAGCTTTTTAACATCTTCAGATATGCGGTAGACATCCCTGCCTCGTGACGTGGTCATATATTCTCAAGGCTGGAAATTTCTGTGCATCTCTTGTGCTATGCTAGCTGGTAGCTGACTTATAGATATCGTGATCGTCAAGCTCTTTAGGCATTTCTGATTGATGTCCCTCACAGTGGGTGGTGACCCTGTATGTAAGATGCGTTTGCGGTGCTGAGGAATATGGCTTGGCGTTGCTACAGGGCGGTTCCACAATTGCCCGATGAGGGGAAAGAGTACTTGTCTCACTCTTCGTAGTGCGGGACTCGACGGACGACCATGTGCTGTATTCATAACAGTGGTCGGTTGTGCTCACACAACATCCATTCCTGCAAAGGCGCTAGAGATGAAGGATGTAGGGTGAAGGGGGGCATGTAACATCCACTCCTGCAAATGCCTTAGAGATGCAGGATGGAGAGTGAGGGGGGCGGGGACGGTTGTTGTCGCTGCAGAACCTTGTCCGCAGTTCACGTTGTCCGCTTAACAACCACTGAGCAGTTGGTGGCGTTTGTCTTGCAGGTTTTGAGACATTTATGTGCCTCAATGAATCAGATGTGTTCAGTGATACTCGTGAAGTCCTGTTGAAATCTCTTGGCCCTTGCACGCTACTCAACAAGGTGTCGACGACACAGGTCACACAACTATTGCGACCTATCGTTCAATGCATCAGCAACCACCATTGTCCACCGAGCAGTGGATGGCATTTGCAGTGCAGACTTCGCAACGCTTGTGCGCCATTATTATCTGTTTATTCGTGGACATTCATGAAGGCCTCCATCAGAGTTTGTCGACTTACGCCAGCTGCGCAGAAAGGCGATGATGAAACAGATCACTTCGCTACAACAGTGATTCCTCTGATTCGGAAGTGTGGCTTGCCGTAGAAAGACTACATTTTTTGCCTGCAGGCCCCCTGCACGGGTTACATGGTTTTCTTCTTTTCGAGGTACCTGCTTGGAGCTTCGGACCGTACGATGGTGTTTTATGTCTGCATCGCTTGCATGTTTTTCTCTCGTCTAAGGCTGCAGGCTAGAGCCTTTTCTTTGTTTCCAAGTCTTTCCACCATCCTCGTCACTTCAGGGATCGCGGCTTGCCATAGAAAGACTACATTTTTTTCCTGCAGGCCCCTGCACCGGTCATGTGGTTTTCTTCTTTTCGAGATACCTGCTTGAAGCTTCAGAAGGTACGATGATGTTTTATGCCGGCATCCCTTGCATGTTTTTGTTTTTCTCTCTCCTAGGGCTGCAAGCTAAAGCCTTTTCTTTGTTTCCAAGTCTTTCCACCATCCGCATCGCTTCAGGAGGGGATTTTTTTAGAGGGGGTTTGTCGATGTGGTTTTCTCAGGGCGCATGCGAGATCCGTATTACCATTTTTGAATTTTTCTAAGTCGGACACGTTACGTTTAGCGCCTCTTTCTTGAAGGTAGTCGTGAACATGATGGTGTTCCGACTTGGACAAAATGAATCGTTTCGTTTGCGAAGCCCTTTGGCTGGCTGCAAGATATATCAGTGTATAGTCTGTGGGTCCTTGCAGCATGATGAAGCTGGGAACCTGGACTATGCTTCATATCTGCTGCCATACGATGTTCTCTTTCTCATAGCGACCGGCAGACGTTTGCTTTGTCTTTCTTGTACCTTCTTCATCCCTTCTAACGGTTGTCGGCACCTATGTAATCTTAAGAAGATGCGCTTGTAATGTCTTCTTCGTGTACAGTAAATGACGAAGCTGTTTTCAACTACACAAGGAAGCGATAGGCAGCAGTTCTCTTCAAGAACTGATGGTGTCTGTGTGCATGTGTGCATGTGTGCATGTACGTGTGTGTGTGATGATGTACATGTCTGTGCTTGTGCCTATGTGACGATACACACGTGTGTGTGTGTGTGTGTGTGTGTGTGTGTGTGTGTGTGTGTGTGTGTGTAACCCGCGTAATAAGACATGATTACGGTATGGTACGGAAACAGCATCATAATCAAGATCCGAAAAAATGTACCGGCGGACCTTAAGAATGAAAACTTGTAGGCGTGGTGCAGACGCATCCAGTACTCGGAGGTGGGGAATGACTATGCCAGACTACACGAGCAAGCTCAGGAACAAAAACTTGTAGGCGCGGTGCAGACGGAACCTATATGTTAAGGTCGGGAAGGACTATGCCGGACTACACGACCATCTATGCTCCCACTGCACTTTGCAGGCGAACTGGAACACACACGATCAAATAGACACCACAAGACGGGGAAAGGAAGCACAATAAGGCAAAAGACAAGGAGGCAACGACAAGTTGACAACAAACTGCAGAAGGGCATAAGGACTGGGGGGCACGGGGGAGGTGGGAGGGCAGACCATACATAAATCCAAAAAAAACAAAGAAAAACAAAAAAAATGCAATTACAGAAAAATATCCCAAGTATAAGACATCAGGCAGCAACAAAAGACAATGGGTGGAAGGCACGGGGGAGGCGGGAGGGCAGACATCACTCAAACACAGAGAGCATGCAAAGCAAAAATACAAGTACCCAAAACATCGAAGACCGAAAAAAATAAAAATAAAAATAGAAAACCGATGATGACAAGATTGTTTCGTCGGAGTTGCACCGACTCATCAAGAGGCTGAACCCTCGACAATCTGCGGAATCCCCGTATTTGATGGTTTGGGTCATGAACCCTTTGACCCATGTTGAAGGCAGACTGTCCCCAAGTGGGACATAGCAGCAGGCAGCAACCCTGTGGAGCACCAGGCAACACAGTAGAGGCAGCCCAACCGCTTATCACCAAAGATGACTGCAAGGAACGACAGGGCAAGCGGACGAGCAGCTCAGCAACTGTGCGGTGAAGCGCAAGGCAACATCAGCAAGGCGACCAGACTACAAAGTACGCAAGCAAGTAAAGGACTCGGACGGCCAACAGGGCAAGCAGACGAGCAGCTCGGCAACTGTGCAGTGAAGCACAAGGCACCACCAACAAGGCAACCAAACTACAAGGCATGCACACAAAGGATACTGAAGGCCGACAGAGCACACGGACAAGCAGCTCAGCAACCATGCAGCGAAGCGCGAGGCACCGCCACAAGGCTACCAAACCACAAGGCACGCGAGCAAAAGACACAGGAGGCACAACCCGCGGGTAGGCGGCAAGGCAGCAGAGCAGCGAGGACGACCTGCAAAGCAAACGGCATCCAACACGGAGCAAAGCAGCACATGACCTACTCACATCACGATAGAACCCCCCAGACTGTTGGTTCCCACCACCCGCTGAGCCAGGGGGACACTCCGACGACCATCCGTCATCACCTACAGGCAACACAGACATCCCGAACCGAGCGGCCCCCATAAGAGTGCAGTAGGCACTCCAAACGAGGAACCACCGACTGTTTGGCACTACTTAAGGGTGCTCAGTTGGGCACACAAAACATACTTAGAAAAAGTCAGGGGGAGGACAGACAACAGAAGAAAGGCCAACAGACATAAAACTGATTGTGTGTGTGTGTGTGTGTGTGTGTGTGTGTGTGTGTGTGTGTGTGTGTGATGATGTACAAATAAATGAAATACTACGATTCTGAATTACCTGAGGTCGGTCCGATGATAATTGCGTGGACAATAGTCTGTCCAGCAATGTACAAATTACAGCCGGCAAAAGTTGTTGCATGGAATGTCCTTGCTCCAACCCACGGACCCAAGTCCTTTTCTAACAGTGACCCTGGTGTCTGTGGGCACAAAACCCAAAACCCTGTTGACGCCGTGTTTGTTAGTGTCATCGCGAACTGGAGAGTGTACAGTGGACAGGACGTGGAGCGATTCGGCCCGAACACAGTTTTGGGGAGCTCTTTTTTCTTGGGGGTGGTAGAGGCCAAGGACTAGACCCAGCGCAGTGCCACCCAGTAGTGGAGTGAGGCCCCTTCCCTACCCTTCCCCACGTTAATACTCCCAGGGCAGTGCCACCCAGTAGTGGAGCGAGGCCCCTTGTGTGGATTGGAAGTCAATTGGATTGCCTTGTTTCCAATTACAACTGGTGGCGCCAGCCAAAACAAAAACGATGCGCTGGCTTTTCGGCAATGCTCAGCGCACAGAGGGAAAAAGCCTCGTACAAAAGGAGCTCGGATCTAATGGTGGTTTAAGCAAACCTGCTTCCCCCTGCCACACCCACACAGAAAACTAGGGCGCACTCATGGTTTTCAGTTCTAAATGCATTTCAGTCACGACTCCTTGAATGTTGCTCAAAAGCGAGGAAAATTGTGAGTGTATACAACCCAGCCTTGTGTCCGGTGGGGATGTGTTGTATTCGAGGGAAACTAAAAATGTGACTGCGCCCTAGTTGGCCCAAAAGGAAAAGCCAACCTGCTGCCCCATCAACAGTGCACTGCTCAATGTCGTCCCTCCGAGCGCATATCCGCCACTGTCACTGTAATATTATTATCGTAAATGCAGGTGGAAGCCCTTCCGGTCAGCCTGTAGCAAGGCTAGGGCCGCGTGCTTTCTAACTTTCTACAGTCCTGAGAGAGTGCAAACTTTTTTTTTTTTTTTTTTTTTTTTTTTTTTTGACCATTTCTCGATTTATGTGTGTCATCCTTGCGCAGGGGTCATGCTAATCTTCTCTGCATCGTTCCAATTCTTAACGGATGTCCCGAAGGACGAGTGCAAACTTTTTTAACACGAGCAGCTTTTCTCTTTTTCTGTTTCTTTTTAAAAAAGTAAGCCGCATTATTCACTCAATTTTCAACACACTACCTACCTAGCACTACTACTATAGTCATACGGGAAAGCCCGTAGCAGCCAGAACCGTGTTCACGAGAGAACGTGCGAGGGCTGATCCCGACCTGCAGGTGGCTGATACCGGTCATCAGGGACCACACCAACAGGACCAATTCCTGTGCCTCCCCTCAGGTCCCCTCCCGTACGAACATCAACAGACTCTGCTCAATGCCGATCCGGGGACCCAGTGGTCTTATCTTTAGGTGGTGAGCGCCAAGCATGCCCAGGAAGGTACATGCGGCCAATGGGGATTGAACCCAAGACCTCATGAATGCCACTTGTGAGCCTTACCAACTGGGCTAGGCCACTGGATGACTCAAGCAACTTTGCTTCCATATACTCTTTTTCAAGTTTTTTTTCTTTTTTCAATCAATTAATGTACTTTTTTCAGGGTTGTCGAGCCTTAGCGGGGTTG